GCACACGCACACACACACGTACACACAAACACACACACATACACACACACACACGCACACACACACACACACATGCGCGCGCACACACACACACGAACCCACAAACAGGCACACACACATATATCAAATCCCACCAGCCCTCTGGGCGTAGATGGTTTAGGAAGTTTCCTGTTCTACCCCCCTTCTTCCCCTTCGGGGAGGGGCTTACCCCTCCCCCTACCCCCCCCTGGACATGGACGGGCGTTGTCGCGACCCATTGGAGCGTCCAAAACGGCCTCGGCGAGGAAGCCAACATCGTTGGTTTTACTATGGTGTTGGCCCCAAGTTGGCCTCTTGGGGGGCAGGGCTAAGAACAGCTCCCCTGTTCTTTGATCGATGTCCTCCAAGATGGCCCCAAGAGGCCCCCCCGAGGCACCCAAGACGCCCAAGAGCCTCCCAGGGACGCCAAGAGACCCCCAAGACGTCCCAAGAGGCCACCAAGACGCGCCCAAGAGATATCCCTAGAGGCTCCGAGAGGCGTGCAAGAGACCTCTGGCCCTTGTGCTGACCCTCCTCCTCCTGCTCCTCCTTCCTCCTCCTACTCCTCCTCGTTTCCCTCCTCTTTTTCCTCCTCCTCCTCCTCCTCCTATTCATCCTCCTTCTCCCCACTCCATCATCAATCCATCCAGCATCCTCCTTCTCCTCCTCCCTTCTTCGCACGGTTCGGCCGTCCCCCTCTTTGCTCCCGCACTTCCCTGATCACCTCAACTCGCATGTACATCGTTTCTGGATGGACTGGTGGGGATACTTGTTTGATTTGCGGCCCGCAAGGAGAAGTCCAGAGGGCGGTATGAACTGGTGGGGATACGCGAGGCGTCTAGAATTCCTCAGGACAAGAAGCAAGGATCCCCTAGTGCAAGCAGTGCGTGGGAAATCTCTCCCTCCCTCTATCTCTCTCTCTCTCTCTCTCTCTCCCTACATCCCTCCCTCCAACTCTCCCTCCCCCCCTCCCTCCCTCCGTCTCTAGATTCAGACAGGCGCATATGCACGCATGACCTCATCGCGTACGCACACACACACGTATATATATATATATGTGCACACAACATTACATCCATCCATCCATCCATCCATCCATCCATCCATCCATCCATTCATCCATCCATCCATCCGTGCATGCATGCATGCACCTGCATGCATGCCTGGGTGCGTGCATGCATGCATACATCCACATCCACATCCACATAAGCATACACACATACATATGCACATCCACATACGCATACACGTAACTATACATACGCATACACGTATACATACACGTATACATACGCACTTAGGTATACCTGTTCGGTGTCCGCGCGCGCTGAGTTCCCAGGCCGGCGCTGGAACGCGCCGCCCGCCTTCGCGCCCCCGGGGCCCCCGGGCCACGCGCGCGGCTCGGCGCGCCGCTCCCTCCGAAACCTCTCGTGCCGCACTTCCCGGCGGCCACGGAAGGCGTCGTGCGAAGCGCGGCCACCTACGCGCCCCCCCCGGGCCCCCTCCGCCTCCTCCACCTCCTCCCTCCTCCCCCTTCCTCCTTTCCGTAGCCATTTTGGCTCAAACCATTTTGGCTTAAGCCATTTTGGCTCCAGCCATTTTGGCTCAAGGCCCGAGCCGTCGCCGCAGCCATCTTGCCCCGCTCTTGGCAGGCTGTGACGGCTCGGGCCCATGCGTGCAGGCCGCCTCGCCTCGCCCCTGGCGCCGATGCCAGGCGAGCAGCAGGCCAGCCGCGCGCCGCGAGACCCCTACGGACGGCGTTGCAGCCGACCGAGGCCGACGCTTCGTGCAGCTGCGCGACGGCTCGGCTATGCGGCCAGAGTCGGATGCCGGCCTCGTATGAGCGACGTGGCCGCCGTCGTTTGTCGTGGCCCTGCTCCTGGACCCGAGCATGTCCACGGAGATAGACACGCACTTCTCCCTACTGGTGCTGCACCCCGGGGGTCACCCGGGCTCGAGGCGATCAGCGCCCCTGCGGCTGCGGCAGCCGCCCGTTCGCCAAGTGCTACGCCGACCTCCTCGCCGTGTGCTTCATCGCTGCTGCTGCCGCCACGCGTGTTGCCTGCGCAACCCGCCCAAGATCGTGCCGCTGCTGCTGCTGCAGCTCCTCCCGCTCTCGCCCAGGATCATGTTCTACGTCTTCTTGCTCGTGCTGTACCCCCAGAGCTCCCGCCGTGCTCGATAGGCGCAGAGCGTGGCGCTCGTGCGGCGTATCTTGACGCCTCCGGCTACCTGGCTGCTCGCCGCGTGCTGGCGCCGCCGCCTGGCGCTCCTCCCGCTGTGGCGCCGGCTGTGGCCTTTCGCGTTTCACCGCCGCCGGCGCTGTACGACGTGAGCCGATACGTCGTCGGCACGCCGTGCGGGCAATTTGGGGACGTTGACGCTGCTGCTGTACCTGCGTCGAACGCGAAGCTGGAGGCCGGTGCCGTGGCGGAGGCCCCCGCCGCGATGCCCAGCAAGGCTGCCATCAGAGCTGCTGCCCATCTTGCGGCTGCGTGTCCGCTGGCCGCGCTGCGTGACCTCAGCGACGTGCAGCGGCACAGGGACATCGGAAGCTACCCGAAGGGCGAGAAGTGGCAGCCGGCCCTATCGTTTCTCACCAGATGTGGGTGGTGAAGCTGGCGCCCGACATCATGAGCTACAGACCCCAGAACAGCGCGTGCAAGAATCGCAAGCAGTGGCAGCCAGCCCGATCGCTGCCCAAAGACATGTGAGTGGTGAAGCTGGTGCCCGCCATCATGAGCTCCGGGACCCTGATCAGCGCGTGCGAGCAGGGCGAGCAGTGGCAGCCGGCCCTATCGCTTCTCATCGAGATGTGGGTGGTGAAGCTGGAGCCCGACATCATGAGCTACAGCACGTGGCAGCCGGCCCTATCGCTGCTCAGCGAGATGTCGGTGGTGAAGCTGGCACCTTCCATCCTGAACCACAGAACCCCGCCCAGCGCATGCGAGAAGCCCTGGCAGTGGCAGCCAGCCCGATCGCTGCTCATCGAGATGTGGATGGTGAAGCTGGGGCCCGCTATCAAGAGCGCCCGGACCCCGATCAGCGCGTGCGAGCGGGGCGAGCAGTGGCACTCAGCCCTCTCGCTCCTCCGCGAGACGTCGGTGGTGAAGCTGGAGCCCGACATCAAGAGCTACATCACGTGGCAGCCGGCCATATCGCTGCTCAGCGAGATGTGGGTGGTGAAGCTGAGGCCTTCCATCATGAGCCACAGAACCACGATGACGACGACGGTTCGGAGAGTGAGGAGAATAGCACGGTCGACTCCGAGGACTTCGCGTACCCGCACGGTGCCGGCTGGACCGGCCGCGCGTTGACGAGGCGCTCGACGAGGTGGTCGCCGCTGCTGCTTCGGAGCGGCATCCGAAGGCTGAGCGCGTGGCCGTGCCGGACTCCCTGGGACAGCCAGTTGGCTCCAGTGCGGCACGCGACGACCAAAGGAACCGGAGGATCGGTGACACTATCGCTGCTCAAAGCGACATCGAAGCTGCCAGAGCCGCCATTGTGGCCGCATATGCGGCCATCGGCATCCATATGATGAAGTAACATAGAGGTGGGATCATGAATGCATGTTAGGGCTCAGGTACGATGTTCTGGCGTAGGCTCGGCACAGCCTCTGGCGATGGCGCGTAGATAATCGTGTTGCTGTGTATCTATATGCATCTCTTTGTGTGCCGCGAGGGTGCGAATGTGCCTCAGCTTGCACTGCGTCCGCGTGGTAATTCCCGTTGTGGTGCCTCCACGCGGCCTCACTGTTATTGCCAGCTTGTCGTACCAATTCTGCCCTTCCGCGCCTTCCCTCGGACTAGCGTGGAGATAACCGTGCGCCTTTCTGCCGCCGTCTCGTCTTTCGTTTCGTGGCGCCAAGGCGCGAAGATGTGTTCCTTCCCCTCTCAGGAAGACGAATTGTTGCCGGCCCTTGTCATGGATGGTGGAACGTGCCGGAGGTGGAGAGATGATGGGAAGTGGAGGGGATAGGCATCTGCGCCTGTGTCCCAGCCGGCGGGTGCCAGAGCTTAGCGCACTGCGTGATGTGATGGCTCGTCTTCCCATTTGTTCCGCCCATTCTCATCTTGTCCTCACTCCCTCCCGCATCCCTCCACCTCTAGGTCAGAATAGCCTATGACGCTAGCAGTAGCCGAGCCCGAGCACTAGGCTCTAGCATGCCGCCGCTCCAGGGCCGCCGCACTGGGCCGTGAAGGAGGATGGTTATGGGGTGGTTTGGAGGTGGAGAGGAGAGGAGGTTTCGGAGTGGGTTGGAGTTGAACTGCCTTGTCTCGTAGTTGCCATTTGTCGGCCACTACGCGCAGAAACGAGCAGGAGGATGGAGACTTCCGTGTGGTAATTCCAGTTTTGGTACCTCCACGCGGCCTATTTCTTTCGCCGATGTCACGAGAGTAGGAGGTGTTCGGTCTGCGTCCCAGCCTTCTCCCTCCCTCTCGTCATCTTATTGCCCTCCCTCCCTCCCTCCTTCCCCAACTCCCGAGTGCCCTGGACGAGGCACAACACGTCATCATTGTCGCCGCCTTTAGCGTTTGCCGTCCAGTTGCCTACTATGGGGGGTAGCAAGAGATGAGTGGTGAGGTTTGGGAAGGCCTGGACTCCTTGCTTGGGTACGACGCGTTCCGTCCGCTCTGTCGCGGGGGTCCCATCGTACTGTACTGTACTTGTCCACTTGGTGCCCGTGCAGATCCACGCTTTTTAGTTCAGCCGGCCTGCCTGTCTCTTCTTCAAAGTCTCTGCTAGCTGCAGCGCCGCCCTCAGCTGACAGGCAATTTGCTTCATCAGCAGCGCAATCAAACAAATCCCCTTCCTCCTCCTCCTCCTCCTCCTCCTCCTCCTCCTCCTCCTTCTCCTCTTCTGCTTCCTCCTCCATCCTCCTCCTCCCTCCTCCTATTCCCTCCTCCTCCTCCTCCTCCTCCTCTTCCTCCTCCTCTTCTTCCTCCTGCAGCGTGGCCAAAGGGGGGCGGGTCCTCGAAGTCCTACCTCTGCATCTGCATCTGTACCGCGGCGATGGGGTCCCTTGCCTCATCCAGCTCCAGCGGTCGACCACCGAGACGTGAGGACATTGCCCTGATCTCATTATACAGAAAATAGGCTGTGGCTGGTACTCTGAGAGAAGATTGAGTGGGTGCCAAAATCCCAAACCGGTCCAAAGGGAGCGGGGCGAGAGGGCCAGTCAGCTTCTCAAGGAGAGTGCCAAAAATGGGGCAATTCCAATAGTGTGCAAACGCATCTTCACCACCTAGGTCTGGGGGGCACCCACAGAGACAATGCGAATTCGCAGACTGTTGGAACCTACGCTGAGTCAGCCAGTTCTTCGAGAGCGTCCTAGCAGCGGCGGCCGAGTGGGCCACGGGCAAGGAGGCAAGGGCGGTCTGAACGGCAGACCAGTCGACCGTAAGGATACGTGCCCTCTCTTCGGGGAGCAAGTCTAACAGACGTCTGGAAAACAAATCACCTAACGAGTTGCTATACATACAGTTGGACAGTTTATTTACAATCATGCGTTGGATTTTTGGACGGGGGCCTCTCACGGAGCTCTGAAGATGTTGAACCTGAAGAGAACGTACCTCAGACATCACTGGTAGCATTTCATTTCGTTGCCTGGCTGCGACCCCTCCAGCGGGCCCGGCTCCACTGCCAAGACCAGCGAATGCGTGACCGTCACCTTCCTGACGTCGCACTCCCCGTCCATGGGTCGAGGAACCAAATGGCGGCGTGAGCGGGAGGGGTTTTGGAGCTCCGCGCGGGTCTGTTGGATCGGCGGTGGACCTCCCCCCTGCCTGACGCACGGAGGGCACGCCGACGCCGCAGGTTCGGACGGAGGCGGGTTGAGACAACGGCAGCTCAAACTCGATCCCCCAAGCCCTCCAGGAAACCAACCGCACGAGTCCTTCGAGCTGCGCCCAACCGTGGCGACGAGGGCCTCGCCGAAGGCCAACCACCGCCGTCTCGACTGGCCCTTCCTCTGACAGGCGCCGCCATGGGCCATGGGGGCTCCGGCGCCGATCCAAAAAATCAGCGCGGACCTCTTAAAACTTGCGCTTGGAGGCCTGACAGAAAAGGCAGCAGCACGAACACAAGGTTGCGTCCACCAGGGGAAGATGATCCGAGATTGCGGCGTTGGTGGTAATGTTCCGGCCATCTGTGAAGCCCGAGTGTGGCCACCCTCGCCGAGATCGGCATCATCTTCCCTCGGTGGAAGCACACCGCCGAGATTGGTGTAGGTCATCCCCCAAACATCTGGCTGTTCCAAATTTTTCGATGCGTAGGCCCCGCGGTCTGGACCACTTCCCCCGGGCCCGCTTGATGCTCCGAGTGGTGTTTTGACGGCCCCGAGGCCTGGCGAGGGCCTTTTCTTTTGTCCGGCGGGCGCTGACCGAGCGAGCGGGCGCCGACGCGCCGTGCCCAGGACAGGCCACCTGCACCGAATTAGGGAGGGGAGGGGAGGGCCCCCACGACCCCGGCGAGCACAGGGGAGTGCCGAAAAACGGCTAAAAACCTGCCGCTCCGAATTTATCGGAGCGTCGGATCCCTGGGCCCCTAGGCCTCCGAGCTTCTTGAGCAGGGACCGACCGTCCTGGTATTCCTATAGGGCTGCCACGGCATGCTCTAAGAGCCAAACAACGTTCTAAGAACAAAGCTAATGCTCTCAGGATATGAAGCCGATGTATCAAAACAAGGCGGCCTCGGCCAGAAATGTTCGATTGGCATCGCTTGTAAACAACACAAAGTTCTAAGAACATTCGTAGGCGGGCCTATATGCGGGGCGACGAAAGGGGGGTATAGGGGGATGCATCGACCTAGAATCGGCGACACGTCGCCGATAGATCGGCGACAAGCCACCGATAGCGCATTCCCGCTTTCCTGGGCGGGGTGGGGCTACCGGGTCCCTATCGGCGATCAGTGGGCGCTTGGGGGTCGATGCATGCCCCCCCTATGCCTATCCCCCCAATCACCCATTGATCGCCGATAGGGGCCCGATAGCCCCGCCCGCCCAGGAACGTGAGGATTCGCTATTGGTGTCCGATCGCCGATCCATCGGCAGTGTGTCGCCGACTCCAGGTCGATACACTCCCCCTGTGGCAGTCCCCCCGCATCGCTGCCTCTGGCTATAGGCATTCCAGCCAGGACGCCCTGCCACTGCTGGAGCTTCTGCCTGTGTCTGCGTTGGACGCCCGAAATGGGTACGGACAAACATGGGTACAATGCCCAACAGCAAATGTCAAAAACCAACAGCGGCCGCTGTTAGGCAGGCGGCCTTCTGTCTCAAATGGACACAGGCCGCGCCGACACAGACAGCGAGTCCTGCTCAAAATGAACAGGAACTGCTGTTGGGCATTGTACCTGTTCTTTCCGTACCCATTTCGCTCGTGCCGACATCTGCTCCTCGGCTGTTGCGGCCCACCACGGTGCCGCCCCGCACGTCGCTGCCGGCCGTGCACGCGCCCCAGCAGGCCAGCTGCGTGCAGCCGCCCTCGGAGACCTCGCGCGCTGGCGGGCTGCCCCTCGCGGTCGGACAGAGGACGGCACCATATACACATGAATATACACATATAATGCATATATCCTTGAATGGGTATTTGTTTGTATTGTACATACATACATACATACATACATACATACATACATACATACATACATACATACATACATACATACATACATACATACATACATATATATATATATATATATATATATATACGCATGTGCATCTAGTTATATACATGTGTATCTATGTGCAAGACGGTCGAAATAAATCTATACGCGCATGTGGAGTAGAAAGGCGGAACAAAAAGGTGTCCACACAGTAGCAAAGCACATCGAAACACATCGTTCCTTGCAGTAGGAAGGTGGTTGACGTAGATTGGGATCTGGACGCCCCAGAATCCATAATTTACATTACCGAAAGGCATACTTTCCTAACGGGCCCCAGGGAGACACACATAAGTCGTCACAAATGGGCGGATTCCAGAATTTTTGCATGGATGTTGTCCTTCGATCCCACATCTCCCATACTCGCCAATCTTTTCACTTACATGCGTTCATGCGTGTGTTGTCATATTTTGTGCCTCCTGAGTGTCTGCCATCGGGGACGCCTGACAAGACAAAATCAGCAACGTCGGACCAGGGCGGCCAAACATCTCAGAGATCCGCCGGTTCTGGAGATGTATCGGGCGCCGCGGTCTTCTCATACACCAGGGGTTCGACCACAAGAAACCTTCCACAAGAAACCCAACCCTGAGACCCCAGGACGTCCATTGGTTTTTGGTGTGGGAACGACGCGCCTTCCACAGCAAAACCATCGCAACCCAGGAAACCCAAGGCACCCTGGAGGCAAACCGGGTATTTCTTTGCATGGGCCCCCACCGCAGCGTTCCGGAACGCTCTCGAGAGCGTCCAAGGAACGCTTCGGCACGATGCATCTCTGTCCTAGCCCCGCCCGACTTGTGCCTCGGGTGGCGAAACTGGCAGGGTAGAAACTTTCCAGGCGCCCTGGGCCAGGGTGCCCCTGGCCCAGGGGGCCCCCAGGATTAGGTTGGGCACGTCCCCCTCCAGGCGGATTCTAGGCGAAACAGTATAGATAGTAAAAACAAATTCCCCAAATGGCCAAAAATATTCCAACAATCGTCCTTTTTTTTCCCCCCCGCAATGTGTTTGTGTGTGTGTGTTTTTTCCCCGTGCGTTTTTTGCCCACAGTGTTTTTGTGTTTTCTGTGTGTTTGTGTTTTGCTTGTTTTTGTTTTGTTTTTGTTTGTGTGTGTGGTTTTTTCCCACAGACGATTCTCTCCCGACTATGTTCGAATATTCCTCCTGTAGAGGGACAGGCCCGACTTCACCCCAGGAGCCTCGGGGAGCCCAGGCGGACTCATTGAGCGCCCCTCCCGCGAGGCACGGGGAGGGCCCCCCGGGGGGGGCTCCGGGATGCCCGTCGCGCAGAGCGGAGGGCACACCTTTTCGCCATGGGGCACCTCAGGGATGAAAACCTGCGGTGTTTTTCGTCTTCGCTTTCTGGTTGCTGTCCCTAGCTTTGGCTCCAATCCGCCCTCTGCTGCAGGACGACATCGAACCGAAAACGGCCCACGAAATCGCCAAAACACCGTTCGGGTCCACCCCTGGGGCGCCTTCTTAGGGAAACGAACTCTATACACCGACGCTTTTCCCGACCCTGCGCGGAAATTCGCGCAGGAACGCAGATTCTGGTGCATACGGGATCCTGGTGTATACATTTTGCATTGTTTCCTTTGGAAAACGGGGGACAACGTATACACCACACCATCCCGACGTCGTCCCTGACCCTAAACAAGTCGTGGGATTGAAAAACAACCCGCCACTGGTAATGTAAATGTTCCAGTTTGTACCTTCTGTGCACCGCCCGACGGATGTGGCGAGCGCCCCCGAGGGACGAGCTTCTTGCGTAGGCGGCGAGGCGGCGAAAACCGCTCCCGCGAGAAGCCAGATAGGGGCACCAACTGGCGAGTTGGCCGGCGAGCAAAGAGGGGGGGGGGGGGGGGACGGCCGAGAGAAGGAAGGGACGCAGGGACGCCGCAGGGTTTTCGACGAGGAAGCCCGAGGGACGAGTACGGAGGATCCCCTAAACGGAAGAAAGAAAGACTTTTGGGACACCGCGCGGACGTTCTGGATCTGCGCCGAACCCCCCATCCCTGAGACACACAGGGACATACTAATACTATGTCCTCCTTGGAGGCGCGCTTCCGACCCGAACATATAGAATACCCATATTGTAGCATATCGTTTCCCGAGCGGTTTGGCCAGAAAGCGCCCGCCACGAGGCATACTACAAGAGTTCTTGGTGCGTGTCCCCCCCTGGGGGGCGACGCACATATGGTATGAGTATGGTGGGTTGACGCCGAATCCCTGGCGCGCCTCTGGCGCCAGGGGCGGCGCCAGAGGCGCCGCTGGGGGGGTGGGGCCGCGCAAGTCCAAGAAATCTGCGCGGAGCGCCACGAGTCTCGAAATCCCACCAGCCCTCTGGGCGTTGGTGGTTTAGGGCGTTTCCTCTTCCACCCCTCCCTCTTCCCCTTCGGGGAGGGGTTTACCCCTCCCCCTCCCCCCTCCCCGTGGACCTGGACGGGGGGGGGCCGCGAGCGGTCAGAGCGTCCAAGATAGCCTCGGCGAGGAAGCCAACATCATTGATTTTACTACGGTTTTGGCCCAATTTTGGCCTCCTGTCCTGAGGGGGCAACCCTAATTGACGCTTCCCTCTTCTTTGATCGATGTCCTCCAAGATGGCCCCAAGGAGCGCCCAGGAGGCCCCAAGAGGCCCCAAGATGGCCCCAAGAGGCCCCAAGAGGCCCCAAGAGGCCTCCAAGAGGATCCCAAGCGGCCCAAAGAGGCCCCCCCGAGGCACCCAAAACGCCGAAAAAGAACCTCAGGCATGCCGCGCAGGTCCGCGCGGCCTCGAAACTTTTCTGCGCATGCCGCGCTTCGTTGTCTGCAGAGCAGCGGGGTGCACAATAATTACACTTTCCAGCCGCCCTGGGCTCGCGCCGTCGCTCGGACATCCGTCCCTCGCGCACCTGGATGGTCTGGTGTTTGAGTTTTTTTAGGGGATCCACAACGCTTCTGAATTACTCTCGCCGAGAATAAAAAGAAACAAAAAACACAAACGGCTGAAACTTTTGGGGGATCCACGATGCTTCTGCATTACTCTTGCCGAGAATAGAAGAAACAAAAAACAAAAACGGCTGAAGCTCTTGGCGTCCGCGCGGATTTCTCGGATCCGCGCCAGCCCTGGCGCGCGGAGCGCGTCGGGGGCGGCACCGGAGGCGCCGCCAGGGGGGCCCCAGCGCGGGCCCGAGAGATCCGCGCGGAGCGCCACAAGTTTATGTTCATGGCGTTGTTTCTTTTTCTCCTTCTTAGTCTTATGACGATTACTACGATTATTTCTAGGATGGTTATTATCATCTGTAGTATTAGTATTATTATTGTTATTGTTCTTCTTCGTCTTCGAGAGAGCGAGAGAGAAACCCAAAAACTAATAATAATAATAATAGTAGTAATAATAATAATGATAATAATAATAATAACAATAATAATAATAAAACGCAAAAAAATGCGATGCGAAGAGGGGGTGAGCGCACCCGATGGGCGACCCAGGGCGCGTGGCTCCGCCCTCCGCCCTTCCGAGCCTCAGCCGCTTGGCGCCCTTGCCGGCCAGCGGCAGCTGGCCCCGGGCGTGCGCGGCCAGCACGCTCCCGACGCGTCGGGCGGCAACTCCTCCGAGAGGCCCTCGCGGCAGCGACGACGGGCTACCACGCCCGAGTTCACAGAGCGTTCAGCTGGATCAGGCCTCCTTGATAGAGGAAGGAACCAGCGCCATACACATAAACACTTGGCGCTCCGCGAGGATTTCTTGGATCCGCGCTGGACCCCCCTCCCTGGAACGCGGAGCGCGCCAGGGGCGGAGCAGGAGGCGCCGCCAGGTGGGCCACAGCGCGGACCCAAGAAATCCGCGCGGAGTGCCGAAAGCTTATGTTTCGGATTTTCCTCGTGGAAACAAGCCCGATGCCAAACGGGACTAAGCCGGATCAGGCCTCATCGAACAGGCTTGGGCGGGATTCTGGAGCAGGCCCGTCTCCGACCACGGCTCTGCAGGCGCCGATGCCGAATCGAGACTCCCGGGACTTGCACCTCAACGATGAGGGTGGGCGCATTCAGGCAGACGATGTCCACCTCGTCGACCCGGCGACCCAGGGTCTCGACGTAGCCTCCGTCGGTCGCCTCGACGATCCCAGCCACCATGCCCTGGCACTCCTTCATAAACGCCTCCCCCACGGCGAACGCGCCCGAGGCGAACGCTTCGTGCACCACGGAGTACGCCGCGGGCCCGCCCACGAGGTCCTCGATGATAAAGAACTCCAGGAAGTCGAGGACCTGCCGGCCAAGCAGCCTCAGAGGAAGCAGCGTCGACGTGGAAACAAACTTTCGGAGGCTCACGCTGACTTCTTGGATCGGCGCTGGGCCCCCCTCTCGCCTGGGACGGCGCAGAAGGCGCCCCTAGCGTGGTCCAGCGCTAATCTGAGGAGGAACGACAATGGGGGCTGGCTCAGGGAGGGGATATCGACCACCTCCTACAGGCGGATTTTGGATGTAGAATAAAAAAACTGACAATGCTCACACATAGTCCAGAAAAAATCAACACATCGTCCCAAGACTATTATTCTATCATTTGTCCCGTCAATCTTGTGATGTTGGGTCCTCGTTTTGAACGGACGGTCCCCGCATCCCTCCCTCCTCCTATCCTCCTCTCCCTCCTCCCCCCCCTCCCTCTTGGCGCACCCCTCACACGCTTCGTGGCCCCATAGGGAGCTCCATCTGAGGTCCCATTGGCGCAGTTCGCAAGGCGGCGCCGCCCCATTTTGGCACACTCCTCACACGTGTCGTGGCCCCATAGGGAGCTCCACCTAAGGTTCCAGTGGCGCAGTTCGCATGGCGGCGCCGCCCCATTTTGGCACACTCCTCACATGTTTCGTGGCCCCATGGGAAGCTCCACCTAAGGTTCCAGTGGCGCAGTTCGCATGGCGGCGCCGCCCCATTTTGGCACACTCCTCACACGTTTCGCGGCCCCATGGGGAGCTCCACCTAAGGTTCCAGTGGCGCAGTTCGCATGGCGCCGCCGCCCCATTTTGACACACTCCTCACACGTTTCGTGGCCCCATGGGGAGCTCCATCTAAGGTTCCAGTGGCGCAGTTCGCATGGCGGCGCCGCCCCATTTTGGTACACCCCTCACTCGTTTCGTGGCCCCACAGGGAGCTCCATCTGAAGTCCCATTGGCACAGTTCGCATGGCGGCGCCGGTCCATTTTTGGCGCGCACACACGCACACACACACACACACACCTCACACGCTTCGTGGCCCCATAGGGAGCTCCACCTTGGGTCCCTGTGGAGCAGCCACATTTCGGCACACCCCTCACATGTTTCGTGGTTCCACAGGGAGCTCCAACTAAGGCTCCAGTGGCGCAATTCGCATGGCGGCGCCGCCCCATTTTGGCACACCCCTCACATGTTTCGTGGCCCCATAGGAAGCTCCACCTAAGGTCCCAGTGGCGCAGTCCGCATGGCGGCGCCGCCCCATTTTGGAACACCCCCCACACGTTTCATGGCACCATGAGGAAGTCCACCTAAGATCCCACTGGCGCAGTTCGCATGGCGGCGCTGCCCCATTTCAGTATACCGCTCGCACGCTTCGGGACCCCATAGAGAGCTCCATCTAGGGTCCCAGTGGCGCCGTTCGCATAGCGGCGCAGCCCCATTTCGGCACACCTCTCACATGTTTCGTGGCCCCACCGGGAGCTCCACCTAAGGCCCCAGTGGCGCAGTTCGCATGGCGGCGCCGCCCCATTTTGGTACACCCCTCACGTGTTTCGTGGCCCCATAGGGAGCTCCACCTAAGGTCCCAGTGGCGCAGTCCGCATGGCGGTGCCGCCCCATGTTGGAACACCCCTCAAACGTTTCGTGGCGCCATAAAGGGGGGCTCTTCAGGGAAGCCCAACGGAGGTCCCGGCGGCTGTGATTACATGCGTCCAACGCCACCCAACACGGCGTTTTGTGGCCCCATAGGGAGCTCCACCGGAGGCTCCAGTGACTGTGATCACATATGTCCCGCGCCACCAAGTACGGTGCTTCGTGGCCCCGTAGGGAGCTCCACCGAAGGCCCAAATGGCTGTGATCACATGCGTCCCGCGCCACCCAGCGCGGCGTTTCGTGGCCCTTTAAGGAGCTCCACTCAAGGCCCTGGCGGCTGTGATTACATGCGTCCCGCGCCACCCAGTACGGCGGTTGATGGCCCCATCAGGACCTCCACCGGAGGCCCCAATTGCTGTGATCACATGCGTCCCGCGCCACCCACGGCGCGTCGTTGCCCCTAGAGAGCTTCACCGAAGGCCCCAGATGCTGTGATTACATGCGTCCTGCGCCACCCAGTACGGCGCGGAGCTCCACCGAAGGCCCCAGTGGCTGTGATCACATGCGTCCTGCGCCACCCAGTACGGCGCTCCATGGCCCCATAGAAAGCTCCACCGTAAGGCACCAGCGGCTGTGATCACATGCGCCCCGCGCTACCCAATACGGCGCTCTGTGGCCCCATAGGGAGCTAGCTCCACCGAAAACCCTGATGGCTGTCATCACATGCGTGCAGCGCCACTCAGTACAGCGCTTCGTTGCCACATAGGGAGCTCCACCGAAGGCCCCAATGGTTGTGATCACATGCGTCCTGCGCCACCGTACGGCGGTTCGCTGCCCCGCAAGGAGCTTCACCAAAGGCCCCAGTGGCTGTGATCACATGCGTCCCGCGCTACCCAGTACGGCGGTTCGTGGCCCCAGAATTATGGAGCTCCACCGAAGGCCCCAGTGGCTGTGATCACATGCGTCCTGCGCCCCCCCGCCCATTTTGGCACACCCTTCACGCGCCTCGTGGCCCTATACGGAGCTCCACCGAAGGCCCCAGTTGAGACATTCGCATGCCTCCCCACGACCATTTCGGCATACCCCTCACGCGCGTCGTGGCCCTATGTGGAGCTCCACCGAAGGCACTAGCTCCATTTCGGCACACCCCTCACACGTTTCGTGGCCTCATGGAAAGCGCATTGGAAGGCCCCAGTGGCTGCGGCAGCATGCGTCCCCGCCCCATCTCGGCACACTCTTTACACGCTTCGTGGCCCCCACACCGGCGGTACTCACATCTGCATATGGTTGGGCCCTTCGCAAAGATAAGTTCAATGTGTGGACACCCAGGGGTCTGGACAACTTCCCCAAGGTCAAGTTCTCATTCCGAATCGTTTGTTGACGGTCTGGGGGCCTGCTGAGGGGCCCCAAAAGCCGAATCACCACCACCACAGAGCCCAACATCCGGAATGTCACGTGGGCAGACGAACTCGCGATTAGCAACTTTCTGGAAATCACGACACAGAGTCGGAAAACGGAACGCCTCACGACTGTGACGCAGAAAACGGCCTGACTGTGAAGCACAAAATGGAGCGCCCGACTGTGAAGCAGAACACGGAGGAGAAGTTGGAGCAGAGGCAAGGGGAGGAGGAGGAGGAAGATGAGATACTGTCTCTAGCTACAACAGAGGAGGCCCCAAATAGCCCAAAACCGGCCGCTCCCATTTTGTCGGAGCCTCAGATCTCTGGGTTCGCTCCGTACCCACATTTCGGGGGCGGTCGAGTACGGGGTGTCCAAGAAGGGGGTTTGCAAATCATGACCCGAGGCATGTGCGCGGACGAGGGGGGGACCAAAGGCATCCTAAGTGGAAGCCGTGTGAAGCGCACATGAGCAATGGCAATGGAAAAGGAGCTAGCGAGAGCGGCTGTACTCTCGCGCCGTGCTCTTCTAGACGCTTGCCGGCATGGTAGCAACCTCTGACCAATTGGGACTCCTTTGTGAACGTGCATGCACAGCGTGTCTGTGCACCTCGCGCGCCCACACCTGTCTGGGGCTGCCTCGTCGGCGGATTGGCGGTAGATTTCGGAGATCTGGGCTTTCAGGCTTGAAAACGCACTCGCAAACAGGGTGGCCGTCCCCCGTGCGCGCGATCTTGCCCAGAAATAAAAGCTGTTGCTCCAGCACAGTATTGCTCAACTGGCTTTGCCTCGCCTGGCCAAGCGATGAAGCCTGTGTAACGTGACTTATACGATAATGAGGAATGCCCCAGAAAAAGCGCAACAATTGCGCTTGGAATGCGTCTAATGTTGGCACTTCTGCTGTTTTCAACCATGCAGCGTGGAGGCTATACAAAAGCTTTGAAACTACGCCTTCGTGAAACATCTGCACACTTTGTCCGCGGGCAAAACGCTATGATAATAGATGCGAACCAACTTGTCGAACTCAGAACTCGCCGCATTGACGTGCTGAGCGAAGGAGAAGAGGGGGCCGTGAGGTTTGGGAGACATCCTGGCACCGTCCACGATATCCCCCCCTCTGGACGCCCATGGATAGGTCAAACCTGGAGGAAGAAACAACGGCATAAACACAAACTGTTGGAGGTCCGCGCGGATTGCTTCGATCTGCACCAGGCCCCCCTCCTTGGCGCGCGGAGCGCGCCAGGGGAGGCGCCGGAGGCGCCGCGCGGAGCGCCGAAACAAGCGCGGAGCGCCGAAACAATAAGGTTTGCCATTTTTGGACGCCCGACTTATGTGGGATAATTGCTGTCCAGGGCAACTCCGGTTTGGGCCCCCCCCAACGCGAATCTGCGGTTACCCCTGACTGCCCCCAGCCCTGCTGATTCGGAAGGGCTGGACGCCCAAAGTATCCGGGATGACTGTGGTCCTGGGGAACTCCTGTTTGGGCCCCCGAGGCGCGAATCTGTAGCTATCCCTGCCCGTCCCTGGCCCTTACGCTTCCGGGCTCTGACGTTGTTCTTCTTCGATGAAGGGGCCTACAAACACACAAATAAATACGCACACATAACAAGATTCCCCATATTTTCATATATTTTCTGGGCTTCTGTCTCCCCCCCCTTCGCATATTTTTGCATATTTTCTGGGGATCGACGAATACTTGTGTCTGTGTGCTTTTTTCCCTCCTGATTCGAGATCCCCCCGATCCGAGGCCTGCCCTGCGCACGGCCCCGCTCCGCCGGCGCCCCCCACAGGTGCAGCACCGTCAGGCCCTGCACCGCCCAGGGGCTCGACGGCTCCCTGCCGATCCCCTCCGCCCGCGCGTGGGGAGCGGCCAGGGTCTGCTCCAGGTGTGCCCCAGGAGGTGGGCCAACCTTCCACCACCCCTGCCATAGGTAGGACGAGGGATAAGGGAGGATGGAGAGGTCCTCCTCCTCCTCCTCCTCCCTCTCCTGCCTATGGTAGTGGTGGTGGGAAATCGGCGCATCACCGGAGATCCCCTTGGATCTACCTGGAACCGCCAAGATTGACCTCGATTCGGGGAGGTTGCAGGGTACCGATACCGCTACTCCCCGGACCTTTCCCGGGGCGCGTTCGGACCAGACATTTGGAGTGCATCCAGCGGTGGCGACGAGCTTCCCCAAGGAGGCCCCCCAGGGGGGGAACAAGAAGGAAGGATCTGGCAGTGTCGGCACCCTGTTCTCCTCCCACGATCTGCATTGACTTGCCCGGCTTGCTCCCCACAATCGGCGACTAGCGAGGGGGGGAAGTGACAGAAGGCCTTCTCAGAAGGCTCCGAAAGCCCCTGGCATTCTGACAAAAACTGTGCTGAACCTTCCCCGAAGACAAAAGAAACTTCTCAGAGGGCGCGAGGGCTGCCGAGAGGTCCCGCCACCTTCCGAGAAGGCCTTCTCCTTCTCACGTCCCCCCTCGCTCGCCGTCGACACAAGCCGCTGGGCGAAAATCCGCCGAGCCCCTGAAGGACCTTCAGCCGCTCAAGCCTGCCAGGACAGCCTAAAATCGAATTGATAAGTCGAATCGGCGATCGATATGAATCGGATCGGCGGAAATCAGCAGCCGAGTCGGGAGAAGTCGATTCGGCTGCAATCGGCAGAGAAATAAAGCCTCATTGACAGACCGGAATCCAAATCTAGAAAAAGAAAAAGCGCTATACACATAAACTTTTAGCGCTCCGCGCGGACTTCTTGGATCCGCGCTGGGCCCCTTTCCTTGGCGCGGGGAGCGCGCCAGGGGAGGCGCCAGAGGCGCCGCCAGGGATAAGCCAACGCGGATCCAAGAAACCCGCGCGGAGCGCCCAAAAATTATGTTTGCCATTTTTGGACGCCCGACTTATCCGGGATAACTGCTGTCCAGGGTGACTCCGGTTTAGGACCCCCCAGCGCGAATCTGCGGTTACCGTTGACTGCCCCCAGCCCTGTTGATTCGGAAGGGTTGGACGCCCAAAGTATCCGGGATAACTCGACTAGAAGAAGAGAAAGTGGCATTCACATAAACTTTTGGCGCTTCGCGCGGATTTCTTGGATCTCAGCTGACCCCCTGGCGCGCGGAGCGCGCCAGAGGCGGCGCCAGAGGCGCCGCCAGATGAGCCCAGAGCGCATCCAAGAAATCCGCGCGGAGCGCCAACGGTTTGTGTTTCTGGTTCTCCTTCCTCGAACATCGGAGTCCGAAGCCGAATCGAATCGGACTCGGAATCGATCGGAACCGAACCCGAAGCGCAGCGAATCGCAGGCATCGAGACGAGAGCCCTGCAGCCTGCCGCCCGCCACGCCCCGCGCCTCGCCCGTCGGCGGCGTGGCGTGGCGCAGGCCGATCCTGTGGCGTCCCGCAACGGTGCGGCGACGGACCGCGCGGAGGCCTCGCCATCCCCCAGCACCTCACCGCACGGCCCCTCCGAGCGCACGGCTTCGGGGGACCTCGGGTGCCCCGGCCGCCCCGGAAGCGTCCTCGGAGAACGACCCCCGAGTCCCAACACCGTGCGGTGACCCCGAATCCCCACCGACTCGCCCCTCGGGGGCGCGCAAACCTGGCTCCGCGGTCCATGGATGGGGCGCGCGGCCGCCACATCCATGGTAGATCGGGGGGCGGCGCCCTCCCCGGAATGCGGCCGGTGCCGCCTCGCTCGGCGGCGGAAACCCGCGATCCCCCATGGAAACGGGCCCAGTCTTATGTTGTTCCCGTCCGACTTAAGGGCCGCATCCCAGAAATAATTTCGAGCACCCGGAAAAGTGTCAAAAAAGAGTGTCAAAAAAGAATGTCGAAACGGTGTCGAAACAGTGTCGGGCGAGGGTATCCCGGGGCCCGACACGTGAAAACCCTTGAGTTTCGGTACTCTTTGGGGCGCTCGAAATTATTCCTGGTGGTCTAGGCTAAAGTAGGCTGGAGCATCAGAAGACCAGTCGTGAATCCACGCCCCCGTGATCCATGTTAGCGATCGCCTGAATTGGCGGCGCGCACAAGGGGGTGGAGGGAGGGGGGACGGCTTCTTAGAAGGAGGCTGCTTCTTAGAAGGCGCAGGCCTTACATCTATAGACAAGGCCCGCGCCTTCTGAGAAGCAAGGGTGCTTCTAAGAAGCCTTCCCCTCTCCCCCTACCCCCTTCTGCGCGCGACTGACTGAATTCACACGGTGTGGTCGCCACCCAGCTTGGAGGCCCCCGAGATCCGCACGGGCCCCTCGCCATCCGCACCGCCCGGCACGCGCAGGACGCTCGCCGCGCCGCCCCAGGCCCCGCCCGCGCCGAACCTCGGCGGCGCGCGCAGGGGCAGAGCAGGAGATCGACTGCAGCATTGGGGTGCTCGAGTTTTGTTCCCTCCTCCTCCTCCCTCCTCCTTCCTCCTCCTCCTCCTACTCCTCCTCCTCCTCCTCCTCCTCCTCCTCCTCCTCTCCTCCTCCTCCTCCTCCTCCTTCCTCCTCCCTCCTCCTTCCTCTTTCCTTCCTCCTCCTCCTCCTCCTGCTTCCTCCTCCTCCTCCTCTTCCTCCTCCTCCTCCTCAACTACAAGAATCGAGCCTACGGACACAATATGCAGAACCTCCTCAACAGGACAAATCGAACCTACGAACATAACATGCAGAATGTCGGTCGATCTGCGAGCATTCAGCGCATGTTGTCCTCCTCAGGCTCGACGGGGCAAACCATCTTGGGGCAGATCGAGCCTGCAGTCGGCCTACTGGGGGGCAACGATCGGGGGAGGACTGGCAGATGGGGGGTTGCATCGACGTGGAATCGGCGATGCATCGTCGATAGAATGGCGATGGGCCCCTGATAGCGAATCCGCACGTCTCTGGGCGGGGTGGGGCTCTCAGACCTGGGCCGGCACGAGGACGGCAAGAGCATCTCAGGAACTTGCCCGAGGTGACTCGTGGCACCCTTCGCTCTTGGGAGCCTTGGTGTTGAGAGTTGTTGCGCCACTGCTCTCTGCTGGGAGCCCTGTTGTTCAGAGACTCTGACGTCGCCGCTCGCTCTCGGGAGCCTTGCTACTGAGAGCTTCTTACGTCACCGCGCTCTGGGGGGCCTTGGTGTAAAGAGCCTGTTACATCACCGCTCGCTGTTGGGGGCCATGGTGTTACTTGGCATCTCGGGGGCTTCTTTGGGGTCTTTTTGAAGCCCTTTTGGCGTCTTAGGGCCCTCTCGGGGGCCCTCTCGGGGCTCTCCTGGGGCCCTCTTGGGAGCTGGCCCTCCCGGGGCCGTCGTGGGGCCCTCCTGGGCCGTTATGGGGCCCTCCTGGGCCGTTATGGGGCCCTCTTGGGGCGTTGTGGGGCGCTCCGGGGGGCCTCTTCGGCCGTCCTGGGGCGAACTGTGGAGCCTCTTGGCGGCCTCCTGGGCCGTCGGAAGCCCGAAAAGGCGAGACATAAAACACTCACAAAAACCCAGAAGGGAAGTCGATGCGTGTTGCCTCCTCAGGGTCCTGCTGGGGCCCTGTGGGGCTCTCTTGGGGCCCTCTTGGGCCGCCTTGGCGCCCTTCTGGGCCGTCTTGGGGCGTCTTGGAGGCCGTTGGCCATCCTGGACCTGTTCTTGGGGACTCTTGGGGCCTTATTGGGAGCATCATGGGGCCACTTAGGGCCATCCTGGGAGCCTCTAGGGGCCATCTTAGGCAATTTTGGGCCCTCTGGGGCCGTCTGGGAGCCTCTTCGGGCGCCTTGGGGCCCTCTTGGGGGCCTCTTTGGCCATCTTGGGGACATTTTGGGGCCTCTAGGGGCGTCCTGGGTCGTCGGAAGCCCGAAAAGGGGAGAGTCAAAATAACTCACACAAGCGTATGGTAAATCTATGTTTTTGCCTCCTCAGGGTCCTATTGAAGTCCTGTTGGGCTCTCTTGGGGCCCTCTTGGGCCGTCGTGGAGCCCTGTTGGGCTCTCTTGTGGGCCTCTTGGACCGTGCTTGACCGCGGAAGCCCGAAAAGACGAGAATCCAACATACCATACACACACTCACTGACAATCAATGTTGTTTGGTTGGCCTCATCAGGGTCCTGTTGGGGCCCTGTTGGGCAGCCTTGGGGCCTCATTTGACCGGTTGGGCGCCCTTTTGGGCCGTCTTGGGGCGTCTTGGATCCTTCGACCGTCTTGGGGCCTCTCTTGGGGGCCTCTTCGGGCCCGCTTGGGAGCCTCTGGAGGCCCACGTAGGGCTCTTTTGAGGCCGTCTTGGGACCCTGTTGGGCTGTTTTGAAGCCCTTGGCCCGTCTTGGGGCGCTCCTCGGACGTCTTGGGGCCCTTTTAAAGCTCCTGGGGCAGTGTGGGGGCGACCCTTGGGGCCTATTGGGCCGTCCTGGGCCGTCGAAGCCCGAAAAAGCGAGAACCCAAACAACACGGAAACACCTACAGGCAATTAATGTCGTTGGTCTACTCAGACCCTCTTGGGGGTCCGCTTGGAGGCCTCTCCTCTTGGGGGTTCTTGGGCCTTCCTGGGGCCCTCCTGGGCCATCTCGAGGCTATATGACGCCATCTTGGAACGCTCTTAGGCAATCCTGGGCTCTTTTGGGGCGCATTGGGCCGTCTCGGAGCCCTTTTGGACACTTCTTGGGCCGTCCTGTGGGCCTCGTGGGCGCATTTGGAGCCGTATGGGGCGCCACTTGGGCCGATCTGGGCACCCCTGAAAATTAGACTTTGCGGCCAACCGCCTCCCCCCCCCTTCTGGATCCCCCCTTCGGCTGACGCCCTACCAAGAACGGAACCGCGTGAACGTTCGTTCCACCACCCTTGTAGGCGATCACTGGGCCGTTGGGTGTCGATGCGTCTCCCCTATGTTTAGGTCGAACATGTCGTCCTACAGGCGGGCTTTGAAGGGAAACTGACGCATAATCGAACACTAAACAACACTGGTGCTCCACCATTAGCCTGGCGAAGGACCCAACCATATG